TGGGTGGGTGGGACGGGAGGCGCATGTGTGGGCTGAGATGTGGAGGGGGAGCGGAAGACAGGCTCCTGCTTCAGATAAGATGGAGGCTCGGAGGTTTCTCAGGGATGTAACCAGGTGCCCAGGCTTTCATGGGCTTTCTGGCCTCTGTATCAGCTGCTGAGAAGTGTCCCTCCCTCTCCTGTTCAGGGTATAGGGGTATGGTACTGGTTCCAACTTTGAAGCTTCGGACTCACGTCCAGAATTCCAGCCTCGCCTTCCTCTAGAACCTTCATTTCTTTCTTTGTAAAACAAGTGTCTCAAGGATTATGAGTGTTGTGGACTGAACTTACCAAGCACTGGGTAGCCCCACATTTTTTAGAAGTCAAATTTGCTGTGTACACTGGTGTACATTTATGCTCTAAGACAGTCTACACACCGTTGTAGCGGGGAAGCAAGCGCTCTGCCTCCTGTAGTTAAATTTTATGTTGCGTTGTGTAGTATTTAGTATTATAATGAACTGTTTCCTTCCCAAAAGTTAATTTCCTAGGGAGTGTGTTAAGATGTAAATCCTAGTTAATTTGGCCCTAGGCTGGTCAGTCCGCCCAGATAGAGATTGCACCAAGTGTTCCACCACTAACTTCCACTCCAGCCTTGAGCGTTTGAGACCGCAGGATCTTATCGAGGTGCCCAGGCTGCTCTGGGACTCCCAATCCTGTCCCGGCTTCTGGTGTTCGGGGATTCCTGGTGTGCCCCATTTATTCAGGGTCATTCTGCATTTCTAACCAGCTCCCAGATACTTCTATTTTCTATGGATCTACAGGTTACATAGTAAGGGTTTGGAGCTGGCAGAGTGCCTGAAAGCTTTGTGTACTACCAGCGTACATACTGCTGAGACCGAGCCAGGTGTCCCAGGGGCCTCATGTTTCAGAGTAGGTGACTAAAGCTGACTTGGGAGGCTGGCAGGGAAGGACTCCACTAGCCGAAGGAGTCAGTTCCCTGGACTCGAGGGGCCGACCTCATGCTCACACAGCCATTTGGCTAACTTTGCAGATGACACAGAGGAGACCAAGACCTTCCCTGAAGTGATTCAGCCCTTGGTAAGTCCTGCACCCTTTGTATCAATCTCTTTGCTCCTGCTCTTCCACAGCGCACCCACTGAGAGGGGCAAAAAATACAGCCCTGTGAATAAACAACAGCAGTGACTCCATTTTGAAGACTTTTACTGGGGCACTGGGCTCATTTGGGGACAGGCATGGCAGGGCGGGTAGGTGGGCCATCCTCCTTGGAGAAAATGACCCCAGCCTCCTCCTTATGCATGTGCAGCTGTTTGACAGCACAGTTTTCAAATTGCACATGAATTTCTGTGCTCTCAGAACCACTGTGAAATTCTGAGGGCATGAAAACAAACAAAAAAACCCCAAACTCACAACTCGGGACTTGTCAGGTTTCCTTGCATCACTTATTTTTACAGGCTGTAGTCTGTTCCTCTTTTTTTTTTTTTTTTTTTGGTTTTTTGAGACAGAGTTTCTCTGTGTAGCTTTGGAGCCTATCCTGGCACTCACTCTGGAGACCAGGCTGGCCTCAAACTCACAGAGATCCGCCTGCCTCTGCCTCCCGAGTGCTGGGATTAAAGGCGTGCACCACCAAAGCCCGGCTCTGTTCCTTTTATTGATAAAATAGCTGTCAATAAATTGTGGTGTTCTGAGAGTAAAACACTATCAAGCATCAAGTATGTGAGCATTGCCACATCGCTTGTAGTGGTTACTCTATACCTGCTTTAGTGTGTGAAGCACACTCCCCCCTTCATTTCCCATTTGGGGCAGACACTATTCTTCACCTGTCATCCTCCTGGGTCCCCTTCCACCTACTTCCTCTTCAGATGTGCTCAGTATTCCCCCCCCCCTTTCCCTTTCAGATGCCTGTAGATAACCACATTCCTGAGCGGGCACAACCTGGGATCCGTGTCCCCTCAGAACCTAAGGAAGTGGAGCAGAATGAAGTCATTCCCAAAAGGGTCTCACCCTCCGAAGTGGATAACGATATATCCAACAAAGTGTCCATGTCCAGCACTGCCCAGGACGGCAACATTTTTGAGAGAACCGAGGTCCTGGCAGGTAAGACTCGCTTGCTCCTCCAGGGTGAAGAGAGAAGTCCTTAGTCCTTCACTTCACCTTGGGGCATCTGAGGGCTTTATCTCCCTTAAGGGGAGGATGGCAGGGGGAATCCATGCATATCAAAGTCTTGTAAAGAATAGAAGAGGAATTGTTTCTTTAAGCCCCTCAGGTATATCTCAAAGCCTTCCCCCTGACTGAGTAGCTTCTGGAGTTAATTATTTAAGGGTTAATTTCCCTTGAAAGCCTGGAGGCCCCGGGGAATTAGATAGGCTCCTGTCTCTTGATAGCCCTCTGACCTTGGTCAGGATGCTTTTGAAGGGAGTCTACCTCGGTTTACTCCTCTGGAAAAAGGCAACGATGCTGCCTCCTTGAGTTGGTTTGTGAAAGATGAAATATGAAATTGCTTTGCAAATTGCAGAAGGCTGTGATTGTGTTATCATTAGTGCTCTCATGGTCCCTTTGCAGGTAGGACATGCGATATTTTTATGTTACGAAATTAGGACATTTTGGTTTAAGAGACCCTTGACAGGGACTGTGCTTCACTGCATGAGGCTCTAGGTGGTGTTGTGTCGAGATGGCTGGGGTACATCAGTTGGGGGTAGTGCCACTCTTGTTCTGGCAGCACAAGATGAGGGGGGGAGGGGGGCGTCTCCACACCAGGCTGTCAGAGAAAGAAGCAAACTTTCCAGAGTCTGGGTGGACTGGCTGGTGAGGAGGGGCATGGGTATAGCAAGCCCATGCTAGGTAATTCCTGTTTCCTGGGAACCAGCTGAGCCAAAGGAGGGCAAGGTGTAAGGAACTGTGTGCTTGCATGTCATTTTGTCCGACCTCCTACCTTCAGCTGCCCAGGCTCTCACTGGCCTCCCAGACCCCGGTGACTCGGGTCATGCAGCACAGTCCTGCCTCTGGTCTCCTGTCAACATTCTTTCTACTTTTCCTTTACCACTCTTGTGTGTTGGTGTCTGTCAGAGAGAGCAGTCCTTAGAAACTGTTAGGCCTGAAATGTTTTCAAGCTTCGTGGAAAGAACTCCACTCAACCATAGAGTTTCGCTCTTAGCATATTTTAGACCTGCTGGCTACATTTACATCTGTGGAGTTTCGGATCGGTTCAGTAGTCTTTTTTTCTTAAGAAAACTTTGAAAACCACTGATGGAGTCAAGCTGCTTTTTTCTTATTTGTGGGGAGACTTAGGTCCCACTCTGGTTCAGAGTAAGAGAAGAACTAATGCCCGGCTGTCCCTTTCTTCCTCCACGTCAGGGTCACGCCAGTGTAAGGTCTTTTGTAGGAAAGATCCATTTCTCTAGCCCCTGTGGCTTCACCTCTGAAGGACAGCAGAGGCTCAACGACAGCTGAAAGCATGCTCTCAGTTCCAGTAGCTTTTACATAGCACCTAGGAGTTCTGTTAAGTGTCTGTGTGTCACATGGTTCCTATGCTTCACCCCATGGAACCCCTCCAGCAATCTGGACTGGAAACCTGAATAACTTGTCCAGGTCACAGAGCCAGGGCCTGGTGGGCCTGGTGGGCCTGGTGTTTGGATCTGGAGCACAGTTGGTTGCCTTCTGAACCTCTGGCTGGGCCTTACTCCTGCAGAGTTAGCTTCCCAGTATAGATCAAGGACCTGAAGGAGGAGTAGAGTTACTGGAGGGAAAGAAACAGCTGGAGACAGGAAGGTGGTATTTGCCTAATTGACAGTGCCTATACTTTGTCTGGCATCCCTGGCAGCACTTTCTTGCTTTTTTTTAAAAATTTAATTAAAAAAATTTTTATTAAGAAGAAATTCTTGGTTCTTCTGGCTGCTCTGTTCCAGTCTGTGTGTAGTTTTGTGGTGTGTGTGTGTGTGTGTGTGTGTGTGTATGTCTCGTGTATGTGAAATTAATCTTCTTAGCCTGGGATTAGGGGATTCAGTCTGCCACAGGAAGGATTCTGTTGGCCACTCCCACCCCTGACAAATAGAAATGAGTTATTCTGGTCACCTGGCATGGTGGATGGGCAGATGCTGACCCAAGTGGAGAAGCCTACCTCTGCCTGCCCCCAGCCAGGTGCTCCTCAGTGAGCTGAACTGCCGGGGACACTTACACGCTTAGTGTTGTGCAGGCCTAGTTCATGTGGTGGGGAACGTGAGAGCCAGAGGTTCACAGACCTTGAACATAGATAGACACTACATCAGACACCGCTCCAAGTGTTTTCTGTAGATTGATTAATTTATCTTAATTTGTAGGTAAAAATATGAGATAGGTTCTTTTTCCATATCACAACGAGAGAAAGAGATTAAAAACTTGCCTTAGCAGACACCGTAGTAGGTGGGGAAGGTTCAAGGTTCAAGGAGAAACAAGTGGAAATCCACCGCAAGACACTGGAACACAACCATGATAATTAGTAGTTATTTGTGCTGTGACAGTGTGGACATCGGTGTGTTCTGCATGTTTGTAGACTGTGATGCCTGTCTGTGCATGTATGAGTCTAGGTGGGGCGGGGGTGGGGGAGGACCTGTGAACACAGAGAACGGTAGGGTAGCCTGTGGTAATGCTGGAAGTGTCTATGTGAGTCGCTTTAGTCCTTGTTCCTGGCCTAGTGCTAAGCTATTGTTGCTAGAGAGTCTATGTGATGTTTAGAAAGAGCCCAAGCTTTGGACTAGGCCCGATGTGTGGACTAGGCCAGTAGTGATTTTGCTTTGTGGCCCATTTTAGCCGTGGTCTTACTATACTTAATCATCCTGTCATGAAAGTCATGACAGTCAAAACTGATAAGGTATCATCTCCCTTGGTGTAGTGGGGTAGTCATGGTGATGGAGAATAATGACTGTGGGTAGAAGAGCCCATGGACCTTGAGGTCCCAAGGAGCACCTTACCCTCACCTCTCGCTCTCTCCCTCCAGCTTTGATTGTGGGCGGCGTGGTGGGCATCCTCTTCGCTGTCTTCCTGATCCTGCTGCTGGTGTACCGCATGAAGAAGAAGGATGAGGGCAGTTACGACTTGGGCAAGAAACCCATCTACAAAAAAGCCCCCACCAACGAGTTCTACGCGTGAAGTTTTCCTTGAGTGCCGCTTGGACTTGATGGGGAGGGGAGTCACAGGATTGGATGGTGGGCCTTTGTAGAGGAAGGGCACCTTAATACTGACTTGTCAGTGTCTCCATCTCTGGTCACCTTTCTGGGGTCAGAAGAAAGATCATCTTCTGTGCTGCCTCACTTGGATTTGGGGGTGGGGGTTCATGTCTCGGTTGCCCAGGTAGAAAAAAAGGGGCTGTTAAACTTGCCCTTTCTAAAGGCAAGCCTGGGTTTGAGTCATTTTTTTTTTTCCCCTCCAAATTTCCAGAATAGAATCTAGGACCAGTTTAGAGCCTATACTGAAGGTGCCTCATCTGTGACTACCTTGTCTTTGGAAGCCAACTTGGCTGCCTTCCACATGCTGTACCCTGTCTGTCTGTAGGAGCTGGCAAGAAGCTAGAATCCACTGCACCTTGAGATGTGTCCACCCACGAGTGGTTCACACTACAGAGTCTCTGTGCTACACCTTGGGCCATTCTAGGCTCTTTCAGTGACTTTTGGAACTCAACTGTTTTTTGATTTTTTGTTTTGTTTTTTAAATATGGGGAAGGTGGGGTGGAGTGCTGAAATGCATTTGTAGAAGATTGATAAAACTAATTTTTTTTTAAAAAAAACAAAACAAAACAGTTCATTCCTTTATGCAAGTATCTGTGCCTGGGCTAAGAGTGTGGGAATGTGCAGATGTTCACATCTGTGTTGAACATTTACATTGCACCAGCTAAGTTTGTGTGTCTTGGTTTTTATGTTGTTTTGTTTTTTGAAAATGAGAGAAGAGTTGGAGATAATGATTTTTTATTAATTTTTGTTACTATTTATAGCTTCAGACAGGGCTGCTTCTTCATCTTTTGTTTCCCCCACCATTTAAAAAGATACTCTGCACTCTTTTTTTTTTTTTTTATGACCTTGGCCCTTTCTGAAGTTGCTTTGTCTTAAGAAGTAGCTATAATGTTCTAGCAGATTCCAGAATATAACTTAGGGGATAGTGGGATATTTGTGTACATGTTCTTGTAATATATTATCCTTACTTGGCTATAGAAGAATAGAAGAATATATTTTTTTAGGATATAGAATGGTTTTTTACCAGTTTCATGTTGGCTCAGGTGGCTGCGTGAGTAAATTTTTGTGTGGCTGAGTAGGCTTTGCCCCCTTCTCTTGCCCTGTTCCTGGTGCCTTCTTGTGCTTGAGCTGGAGTAGTAGAGGGTAGCTGACTCTTAACCCTCGTCCTGCCTTCTGCTGGGGGGCCCAGCAGCATGGCTTCTGGGGCTGCTTTCTTCAGGCTTCTCTAGATGAAAGTGACCTCATGTGGCTGGATAAATCAGGTCAGTTCAGACCACATGGTTAGAAATCCATTCCTCAGTTGCACTGGCCACAAATATGAGTGCTCAGTCACCATCCACTAAGCATATTGCTAAGAGACTTAAGCTGGCTTAGCAGTGACACTCAGCTTTGCTTGCCTCCCAGGGCAAGGGAAGGGGACCAGGAGGAGGGTGATGAGGCCCCAATGAGTCCTGTTGCCAGGGACTCTCCCTCTTACAGAGTGACTTACAAAGTCCAGGGTGTATGTGGGTTGTGGGGATCATATTTCCTCAACCATACTTGTACCTGCAAGTCCCATCAGCACCTCAGAGCGGCCCCAGCTGGCTGGGTCCTCTTCTAAACCTCAGTGCCTGCACCTTTTCTGTACCCTCCTCACACTGTCGTCTGTTACTGATTTCTTTTTTGATAAAAAGATAATAAAACCTGGTACTTTCTAGATTGTCAGATTGTCATTTTATTTTTGCTTTTTCGAGACAGGGTTTCTCTGTGTAGCCCTGGCTGTCCTGGAACTCACTCTGTAGACCAGGCTGGCTTCAAACTCATAGAGATCCATCTACCTCCCCCTCCCTGGTGCTGGGATTAAAGGTGTGCTCCACCGTGCCCAGTGTCATTTTAAAGGTTGTAACAAGTTATTTCTTTTGGAGTGTACCCTTTGAGCTTGAAGCTTGTGAGACCTTTTCAGGTCCCAGACACAGGGACATATGTGAGACAGGAGGGAAGATGCCAGAAAATGTATCCCAATGGCGTGTCTCTGTTCATGTTTAAATTAAGCAACGCCAGGTTTTAAAAACAAACACGGAATCCCTGAGGCCTTTGAGATAGCTCTGAGGATAAGAACACTTGTCAGTTAAGCCTGAGGACCTGAGTGTGATTCCTGGACTCCACCGAGGAAGGAGAGAACCAACTTGTAAAGTTGTCCTGTGACCTCTATGGTCCACCTGTGTTAGCTGACTTTTCTGTCTTGCCAGCCAGTTCCAAAATAACCACATGAGAGAATTACTATTAATTATAAGTGCTTGGCCAATAACTTAGGTTTGTTACTAACTAGCTCTTACATTTTAAATTAACCCTTGATTCTTCTTACATTCTGCTACGTGGTGGTACCTCTGTACACTACACCAAGTTTGTCTTCTCTCCTCTGGAGACTCTGCCTTCTTCTTCCCAGCATCCTCTTAGTCTGGTTCTCCCACCTAACCTTATCCTGCCTAGCTATAGGCCAGTCGGCTTCTTTATTAAACCAATCACAGTGACATACATTCAGATGTGTAAAGTGCTATTCCACATTTCCCCTTTTTGTCTAAATAAAAAGGTTTTAACTTTAACATCCCTATCATTCCTATATCATATCAATGTTGGGTGACTGTCCAGGCAGCCAGGTGTCCCTGTCATTTAGTAACATCACACCCTTCATGGGTCTTTGAGGGAGTTCTAGACTAGATAATTAGTTTTCCTTAGTTATGATAAAAGGTAAATTAGATATAAAACTTTAGACTCACAAATATAATTAAATATTTTCTCTAATTTGCCAAATATAAATAGACTGGATATTGTAACTGCAATTCTTAACCTGATAGCTTTTTGTTACATATCATTTTACTATGTTAAAGTTAAACCTTCCTTTTTAATTAGACAGAAAGGGGGAAATTAGATAAAAGGTAAATAACCTTTTATGTACACTGAAGATGTGTTGCTCTCATTGTTATTAAAAAGCTGATCGGCCGATGGCTAGGAAGGATTTTTGGGGCAGAGAGGTCCAGGAGTCATGAGCCTGGAAGATACAGCAAGCATCATGGGAAGTAAGTTCATGTGGTAGATAAGCCTTGGGGTAGCACGTAGATGGACAGAAATGGGTTAATTTAAGTTATTAGAGCTAGCTAAGAATAAGTCTAAGCTGTTGGCCAAATACAACATTATAAAGACTCTGCGGTTATTTGGTAGTGGTTATTTGCCAGGACACAGAGAAACTGCCTCCACGGGTACTGTGGAGGATAAATACACATAATACCAGAAGAGTAAAAATTAAGCCTCAAATGAGTCACTGTGTAGAAAACATGATGCTTCTCATGAAAGTCCAAATAACTCACTTAGGGATTGGAAAATTATACACTGTCAGCCGTCCAGTCTGTATGACGAGTAGGAGTGGGTAAGAGGAAACTGGCTTTCTCTTGACACAGTTTGCACCTATTTCCTTGATGTCACCTGCTTGGTCTCTGCAGGCCCTGCTATAGTTGTCACATTCTGCTGACAAGTCTTCGATGCCTTCGGCAAGGCTATGACCTGCTCTTAGCTTGTCTCTGTGGAGTGGGACCTCAGTTTGAGGTGTGTTGAGACATTGGTGGCTTGGGCTTGGTGTCACCATCATGTTCAGAGGGAAGAAAAGCCCCAAGAGGAATTTAATAGTCAATCTATTGGCTCCTCACATCACTACAACACAGGAACCCACTCAAATGTTTGACATTTGAACACATTAATTATAACAGCACGAAGCAGTTGTTAGAAATGGGAAAACAGCATCTAAGAGGTTAAATAACTTGTCCAAATAGACAGTTTACTAGTGACAGGTGGAATTTGAACTCGTGCCTAGCGAAGGGTTATGTTACTCATAGTCTCCTCACTGGGGGATGCTCAACTCTCAGAGCCCCCTCTGAAGCAGTAGATTGGGATCTCCAGTCTCTCGAAAGACCATACTACATTTTGTTTCCCTGAGTCCCTTGGGTGAATTTCTGGTTCTTACAACTCATTACTTTTCTGGTAGCATGCACTCTCATCTGATAGATTTGCTCCTTCAACACAGTAGCTGCCAGCCACCGTGGCTCTTTAAATTTAAAAATACAAATGGAATTGCAAAGCCTCTTCCTAAGTGCACAATGGCTACATGGAGTTACATGGAGCTGAGTGGCTCCCGAACAGGGTGGCGCCTACACAATATGTCCACTGTTGGAGGAATGTCTGTGTTAAAGTGGACGTTGACAGGTCTGCATTTGGACTTCGGTTTCTATTAGCTGTTGCCTTGCTTTCCCACAGCCTGTGGAGGGAAAGGCCAGAGGTTGACTGTACTGCAGTGGTGGTCTCAACACAAGTGCCATCCTTTGGGTGAGATACTAGCTTGAGAAGTATTAGTTATCTGTTGCTATGTAACATTCTCTTTAGACTTGGGGGCTTACCATGACAAATGTCTCTCATGGCTTCTGTGAGTCAGAAACTCAGGGGCAGCTGAGGTGGCTGGTTCTATAGGTGGGGTGGGGTGGGGTGGGGGGATGGGGGGATGTCCCAGAAAGTTGCACCCAGATAAGGGCTATGTTGTAGTCATCTGAAAGCCTGACTGGGCGAGGATCTATTTCCAACAGGGTGCATTCACATGCCTGGAAACTTGGCTATAGTTGTTGGCAAGAGGCCTCCGTTGCTCACCTTCTGGATTAACGTAGAAATGTGTGTCCTCATGACGGAGCAGCTGGTTTCCCAGAGCCAGTGATCCAAGAGAGCCAGGTAGAAGCTACAAGGCCTTTTATGAACTAAACTAGCTTTGGAAGTCACACACTCTCCCTTTCATAGCGTCTCATTAGTCATGCATACAGGTCAGTCCTGTTGACTGTCACAGTAAGCTGTTACAAAGGCAGGAGTGCCAGGAGAGGCAAGACTCACTGGATGCTGTGTTAGTCACCATGACAGACAAAATACCTGAGAGAGGCATAGGGAGCAAGGATTTGACTTGAGGCAATCTGTCCTTAACCTGGCTCTGTGTTTCTGGGCCTGTGATGAGACAAAACAGGGAGCAAGGGTGTGCTGGAGCAGAGTTGCTCACCTCATGGTGTCCAGGACATGGTGAGAGACAGGGGTCAGGGACCTGCATAACTTTTCAGGGCATACTGCTAGTGACCTGCTTCAACTCTGTCCCACCTCTACGGTTTACCACTTGCCAATAATGCTGTGTTGTAAATTCAGGATTCAGAGGCCTCAGGATTCAGTCACTTCCCCAAAACTGTTGGCAATCAAGCTTTTAAAACTTAGGCCTTAGCCAGTGGTTAAGAGCACTGACTGCTCTTCGAGAGGACCCAAATTCAATTCCCAGCACCCACATGGCAGCTCACAACTGTCTGTAATTTCAGTTCCAGGGTACCCAACACCCATGGCAGAAACACCAATGCACATAAAATTGCAAAAATAAATAAATAAAATAAATTAAAAAAAAACAAAACAAAAAACTTAAGCCTTAACCTGGTGGTGAGGGCACAGAACTTTAATCCCTGCACTCCAGAGGCAGAGGCTGGTGAGTTCCACCCTGGCCTGGTATATAAAGTAAGTTCCAGGACAGCCAGGGCTGTTATACACAAAAGCCCTGTCTCAAAAAAAAAAAAAAAAAAGCTGGGGCAGGGGAACCCAGTAAAACCAAGCCAAAACAAAACCTAAGCCTTAGGGAAGTGGGCACTTCATGTCCAAGCCAAAACAGAAACCATCTTACAGGTTGGTGACCACATCCTTCATTACCTGCCAATCCTACGACTGGGTTTATTTGTCTGGCAAGTTCACACTGATTGGTACATTACTTCTAAGAATTGAAGAAGGAATATGGTATTGTACTGTGCTCAACTTACAATCTGCCAATGTCCAGAAACTCCTGGATATTTCTTTCATGAGGCATGGAAAAGCTTACACATCAAACAGATACTCCCATGTCAACACTCCCTGGGAAGCTCTGAGAAGTAGGCAGAGCTCCAAGATGGCCCAAGACTTCTTTCTTGCTCCATGACATGCACACATTTTATAAATCCCTTCTCTCTAAGTGTTTATTATCGTATAATTAAAAACAATGTTAATCTCATGTGCATTGGTGTTTTGCCTACATATATGGTATGTCTGTGTGAGGGTGTCAGAATCCCTGGAACTGGAGCTACAGCCAGTTGTGGGCTGCCATGTGGGTGCTGGGAATTGAATTGAAAGAGCAACCAGTACTCTTAACAAGCCATCTCTCCAGTCCCCATTTGATTATTTTAAGTTATGGGTATATGTGTGGGACCTTGTGTGAGTATGTATACATGAGTGCTGGTACCCTCAAAGTCCTGAGACAACATATCCCCCAGAACTGGACTTACAGGCAATTGGGGGCTGTCTGAAGTGGGTACTGGGAATGGAGCCTGGGCCCTCTGCAAGAGAGCTAGTGCTCTTAGCCACTGAGCCGTCTTTCCAGGCCCCTAGGTCTCTGTTCTTGTTGTGTGTAGGGCCTGTAAATTATGGAGGATGCCACTGGGTGTATAATAGCTTACATTAGAGAGCACAGGTAAAAGGATTTTGCAGATGTATTCATATCCCCAATTAGCTGATTCATGTCTTAGCAAAAGAGATTATCGTGGGTGGGCCTGAGTTAGTTGATCTCAACAGAGCAAGATAACATTGAGTTCGATAGCTTCAAGAAATTCATTTTGCCAACAGTCACATGATCATAG